AGAGAGAGAGAGAGAGAGAGAGAGAGAGAGAGAGAGAGAGAGAGAGAGAGAGAGAGAGAGAGAGAGGAGGAATGATACTGACCTGGATGTCCATCAATACGCAGTGAAAGGTGTGGGGATGCTTGAGAACATCCAGTGCAGCTTGCCCTGAAGCAACTGCTGTTGCTTGCACCTCAAAGCCCTCCAACAGCTTGGTGATCACTTTTCTGTTCACCATATTGTCATCAACCTGCCAAAAACCCAACACGTGTCACATTGGAGGATGCTCATTGGTCACCCATCACTCAGCCTCACCCGTCATTAGGCTGATTCTCTGTTGCCATTTTAGCATTCAGCAGCAGTCGGGTTCGAACTCTTGATTTGTTTATCAACATACATAATAAAGATGTGTTCAGATAACAGATTGCATGACGTCTAGACTGTCTAGGTCTAGGTCCTTGCTCCCCCACACCAGTTGAAATTTACCTGGACTGCACTGGTCCAGGTGCATTCAAAATGCCGGACAAGTCCACATGTATCTGGTCCATATTGCATGACGTCTCAATCACAAGATGAACCACCACTCCATGCACATATACTGCATTCAGGCAGGCTATGTATTAGAGGCAAAGAAAGGAAACAGATCAGGGGCCAAGTCCCACTAGCAGTGTTAAGTTTCCTCAACACCCGAATCTGGACGTGTTTGTGGAGACGTGCGGATGAGGAACTCAACGCATATCCGCAAACATGTCCAGATTCGGGCATTGAGGAAACCCAAGGCTGCTAGAGGGACTTGGCCCCAGATTGTATGTACGCTAACTTGCTAAGGTCCAACAGCTCAGGGGGCAAGTCCCACTAGCAGCATTAAGTTTCGTCAACACCCGAATCTGGACGTGTTTGTGGAGACGTGCCGATGAGGAACTCAACGCCACTTTCTGCACACATCCGCAAACATGTCCAGATTCGGGCATTGAGGACTTGACCCCAGCCCCCAGATTGTATTGTATGCTAACTTGCTAAGGTCCTCTCAACTTCCCTTAGCGATCAATCAATCACCACGAACTCAGTGATTGGTGATTGCAAGAAATGGCTGGCCCACCTTGGGCTGCTCGGGGCGAAAAAAAGACTAAGTTGTGTAGGGGAAAAAAAAAAAAAAAAAAACCCTTTTTTTCTTTTTTTTTTGAGGGAAAAAAAAACAACAACTTTTGCCTGAGGGTCACTCCAAAATTCTTTACAAAATTTGAAAAAATAAAAACAAAACGAGCGTGCACTCCAGCCTGCACTGGCTGCCGCAAGTGGTTCCCAGTCTCTCTGTTGGCCTAGCTATAGTACGTGACTGCTATTGGGGATTATAAACCCTGCAAAAAAAAAAAATAATAATAAATAATAATAATAATAATAAAACAAATAAATTTCAGCTGACCGGTAGGTGCCGACCGGTGGTCGCCGACCAATCCAGGAGAGCACCGACTGTCGGCATGACTACTCTGGTTGTGGAGGATAAAAAACCAAACAACGTTTGTCTGAGGGTCACTCCGAAATTCTTTTTTTTTTTATATATGGCACTCCGAAATTCTTTACTAAATTGGGGGAAACAAAAAGGAGCCTGTGGGTCCAGGCAGTACCAGCCCCACAAGTGGTTCTGGGTCTGTCTGATAGCCTATGGGCCTCGCCACACCACTCTCGAAATGTGAAAAAGACAAAAATGTGGCGGGTGCATTTGGTCCTGTTCTAGCGGGAAGTTCATTCTCATTTTGCACATTTCGAGAGTGGTGTGGCGAGGTCCTATATGATTCCAGAGGATGATCTAGAATTGGGTGAATTCCGTTTATGAGAAGTAGATTATCTACTTCTCAGTACGTGACTGCTAAGGGCGTAAACACAGTAAAAAAGTCCCTTTTTTAATCCATCCTTTTTTTTATTATTATTATTATTATTATTATTATTATTATTATTATTATTATTATTATTATATTTTTAATCCATCCTTTTTACAGACCAGCCCCAGGTAATGCAGAATGAATTTTTCATTATGGTCATCTGGAGGATGGTCCCATTAGCAAAGAGGATTGGATTAAGCTCCTGAATCTGGACGTGTGTTTAAGCAGAGATGCAGAAAAGCTGTTCAATCTCGAATTTCTGCACTTTTCCAGGAACACGTCTGGATTCAGGCGTTCAATCCAATCCATGTTGCTAGTGGGACCTCGCCCCTGTTTGTTGTATGTGGAGTCGAACTTGGGGCTGTATTTCAATTTTCATTATGGTCATCTGTCCTGTTCTAGCGGGAAGTTCGTGTGCGGACTGAGGTAGACGGATTGGTGCACGCCGTGAAGTAATCGCGTAGGGCATACTCACTCGGCGGTGGCATAGCAGCAAAATCTGAGAATTTTTTTTTTTCGATATCCCGATTTTGCTGAAATGCCACCCCACCCGGTCACATAGCGGCAGCAAATCAAAATCACAAACGACACGAGCCGGACTTCCTGGCAATTGCCAAAATGGTCCCTCGCGCGTGGTCCCACAGCGCGAGGCCCCAACTTTTTTTTTTTCTTCTTCAACAGAGTACGTTTCAAAATCCCTTTCGCGAACTCTCGAACTGAAGGAAGAAAAAAAATTGCTACCACCTCCAGAGAGAGGTGGAGGTGGTAGCAAAATGCCCTTCCCTAAAAAAAAAAAAAAAAAAAAGCCCTTCCCTGTGGCCCACCCGCCAGGCCGCTGACATTTGATACCCCCGTTTGCTGCTTTTGGCACGCACGTTCCCTGCCTCGTGCCACTGGCCCAACCATCAAATCAAATGTTAGCTATTTTGTCAAAAAAGGCCCTACCAAATATAGTGTGAGCAGGCCCTTAGTGAGAGACAAAGTGACCGAACGATTACAAGCAAGCAGGCAGGGGGATGGATATCTGTTTGTTTGTTTGTTTTTTTTTTTTTTTTTTTTTTTTTTTTTTTTGCCAACGTGCAATGGGGGTCCCATTAGCAAAGAGGATCGGATCGAATGCCTGAATGTGAACGTGGTTTATCCAGAGATGCAGAAAAGCAGTTCAATCTCGATTTCCTGCACCTTTCCACAAATACGTCCAGATTCAGGCATTCGATCCGATCCTCTTTGATAGTGGGACCACGCCCCTGCAGAAGATCAGGAGCAGGCAGCAGCCGACAACATACACAAAAAGTAAAAAAAAAACACAGAGAAATATGAAAAAAAAAAAAAGAAGGGACTACAGTCTTCCCCCGAATACAACGCACGGTCATTATAGCTGAATTTGGACCATCTTTCAGTCTAAGGGTCAGATCCCACTACCGTGGATTATTCATTTTTCACCCTCGATTACGAAGATCAACGGTTAGAAATGAACAATAGGGGCTGGTGGGATCTGGCCCTAAAATTCTCGAAATTCAGTTATAATGACGGTGCGTTGTATTCGGGGGAAGACTGTAGTCAACGCGGACAACACAACGTACGGGACATCTTGATATCAGTGCACCTCTCTCTCCTCCATCCTCCCTGATATCAGTGTACCTCTCTCTCCTCCATCCTCCCTGATATCAGTGTACCTACCCTGCATGTTGCCAATAGAATGTATCTGGTCATTATATAAGCTGCATCTGGGGCAACTTGCAGGGTAGGTACAGCCGGCGATAATGACCACACATTCTATTGATTGGCCTGGAAGACGACTTAAGTGCACACGAAGTTCAGCCCCAAGTCTGACAGTAAATCAGGAGCTCAGGCGTGAGGTCCCACTAGCGAAGAGGATTGGATTTAATGCCTGTATCTGGACGTGTTTGTGGATAGGTCGAGAGAAAAAAACAAACGGCCATAGATCTGCTTTTCCGCATATCTGCTTGAAACCCATCCAGATTCAGGCGCTTTATCCAATCCTCTTTGCTAGTACAACCTTGCTGCAGAAAGCACAAAAATAATGAAAATTTCACATTCATTCAAAAGAGTCAAACTTCAAATCTCACAACAGCAGGTGGAAGGAAGGGTGCGGGCTCCACTGGTGGTATGTTCATCATGCTAGCAAAGCATGAACCTTTCTCTGCTATTATGTCCAGGTTCATGCCTCCCATGCAACATGACAGCACCAGTGGTGCCTCTGCCTCTAAGAATCCGCCATGGGTCTCTTGCTAATATACCCAAGAAACAAGGGTGGAGAATACGTAGCAAGGAAACAAGGGTGCAAAATGCGCCTGGGTCTGGTGGCTGAAGGCTTCATACACACACACACACACAAACAAACAAAAA